GGTCTCAACAAACACACCGCAAAAAGAAGAAGATTACATCGAATAGATCTCCACGAGAGAGGGGGAGAACTTTGTATTGAGATCCAAAAAGAGAGAAGAAGCCATCTAGCTAATAACTATGGACCCGAAGGTCTGAGGTAAACTACTCACACTTCATCGGAGATGCTGTGGTGATGTAGAAGCCCTCCGTGATGACGGCCCTCTCCGACGGAGCTCCGGAACAGGCCCCAAGATGGGATCTCGTGGATACAGAAAGTTGCGGCGGTGGAATTAGGTTTTTGGCTCCCCCTCTGTTCGTTTGGGGGTACGTAGGTATATATAGGAGGAAGAAGTACGTCGGTGCAGCTTCGGTGGGCCCACGAGGGTGGGGGGCACGCCTGGGGGTATAGGGCGTGCCCCCTACCTCGTGCCCACCTTGAAGCTTCCTTGGCGTAGGGTCCAAGTCTCCTGGGTCATATTCGGGAAGAAAATCACGTTCCAGAAAGGTTTATTCTGTTTGGACTCCATTTGATATTCCGTTTCTTCGAAACACTGAAATAGGCAAAAAAAACAGCAATTCTGGGCTGGGCCTCCGGTTAATAGGTTAGTCCCAAAAATAATATAAAAGTGGAAAATAAAGCCCAATATAGTCCAAAACAGTAGATAATATAGCATGGAGCAATCAAAAATTATAGATACGTTGGAGACGTATCAGTACCTCTACAAATCCCTGCTTCCCTCTGCGAAGAGCCTATCTATTTACTTTTATGCTGAGTCATCATCCTCTTATTAAAAAGCACCAGTTGGAGAGCACCGCTGTCATTTGCATTCATTACTGTTAGTTTACATTGAGTATGACTTGACTGGATCTCCTTTACCATGAATTATAATGTTTAGTCAGTCCTTGGTCTTTAAAGGTGCTCTGCATTTATGTTTTGTGGTCTCAGAAAGGGCTAGCGAGATACCATCTTGTTATATCATATTATGATTGTTTTGAGAAAGTGTTGTCATCCGAGATTTATTATTATTGCTCGCTAGTTGATTATGCTATTGATATGAGTAAACTTGAGACCTATGCGTTATTACGAATGTGGTTAGTTATAATCTTTGCTGAAAACTTGAATGCTGGCTTTACATATTTACAACAACAAGAGCAGAGAGAGTTTGTAAAAGTTTTTCTTTATCACTTTCAGTTTGTCAACTGAATTGCTTGAGGACAAGCAAAGGTTTAAGCTTGGGGGAGTTGATACGTCTCCAACGTATCTACTTTTCCAAACACGTTTGCCCTTATTTTGGACTCTAACTTGCATGATTTGAATGGAACTAACCCGGACTGACGTTGTTTTCAGCAGAATTACCATGGTATTATTTATGTGCAGAAACAAACGTTCTCGGAATGACCTGAAACTTCACGGAGCCACTTTTTAGAAAATATGAAAAATACCTGCAAAAGATGAAGGCCAGGGGGCCCACCACCTCTCCACGAGGGTGGGGGGCGCGCCCCTACCTCGTGGGCTCCCTGTTGCCTCTCCGACTCCAACTCCAACTCCAACTCCATATATTGTGTTTCGGGGAGAAAAAAATTAGAGAGAAGAAATCATCGCGTTTTACGATACGGAGCCGCCGCCAAGCCCTAAAACCTCTCAGGAGGGCTGATCTGGAGTCCGTTCGGGGCTCCGGAAAGGGGAATCCGTTGCCATCGTCATCATCAACCATCCTCCATCACCAATTTCATGATGCTCACCGCCGTGCGTGAGTAATTCTATCGTAGGCTTGCTGGACGGTGATGGGTTGGATGGGATCTATCATGTAATTGAGTTAGTTTGTTAGGGTTTGATCCCTAGTATCCACTATGTTCTGAGATTGATGTTGCTATGACTTTGCTATGCTTAATGCTTGTCACTAGGGCCCGAGTGCCATGATTTCAGATCTGAACCTATTATGTTTTCATCAATATATGAGTGTTCTTGATCCTATCTTGCAAGTCTATAGTCACATATTATGTGTTATGATCCGTTAACCCTGAAGTGACAATAATCGTGATACTTACCGGTGATGACCGTAGTTTTAGGAGTTCATGTATTCACTATGTGTTAATGCTTTGTTCCGGTTCTCTATTAAAAGGAGGCCTTAATATCCCTTAGTTTCCGTAAGGACCCCGCTGCCACGGGAGGGTAGGACAAAAGATGTCATGCAAGTTCTTTTCCATAAGCACGTATGACTATGTTCGGAATACATGCCTACATTATATCAATGAACTGGAGCTAGTTCTGTGTCACCCTAGGTTATGACTGTTACGTGATGAACCGCATCCGGCATAATTCTCTATCACCGATCCATTGCCTACGAGCTTTCCATATATTGTTCTTTGCTTATTTACTTTCCCGTTGCTATTGCTATCATCACTACAAAATACCAAAAACATTACTTTTACTATTGTTACCTTTTGCTACCGTTATCATCACTATCATATTACTTTGCTACTAAACACTTTGCTGCAGATATTAAGTTTCCAGGTGTGGTTGAATTGACAACTCAGCTGCTAATACTTGAGAATATTCTTTGGCTCCCCTTGTGTCGAATCAATAAATTTGGGTTGAATGCTTTACCCTCGAAAACTGTTGCGATCCCCTATACTTGTGGGTTATCACCCGTGTCGGGCATGGCTGGCGGGATGGGTGCTGGCCAGGGGCGACAACACGTGTGGTGTTCCTCGATCTGGCAGGTGCATGGTCTGTCCTTTGGCGGCACTCGGGGATGGGTCGTCCGATCATGCTCCGGTGGCCTGGCCCCTTCTCATCGGCGCACTCGACAAGATGGCCTCGGTCATGGTGCCTATCTTGGCTTCATGTCATGAGCAGTGACGACAACGCCTCTAGGCGTCGTAATCCTTGTTGAAGACGTCCCTGGAATGCTCCTCTCCTTCTCTCATGGTCTTTGCTCCGGAGGGAACCCATGCTCCCCTCTTGGGACAGACAATGGCGGCGATTTCCTCATCGTTGACCTTCTTGGAGGCATTGTCTTGGAACAGACTCGGTCACCGGAGCTAGAGCTCTAATTTATTCAGTGTTACTCCGGAGTGAGATCTATGGAAGATGGCTTGAGGCAGAGGGCATGGATGTGCAGCGGTGGCGTGGATTTTCTAGCTGGGTCGACAGTCTCTTATAGTGAGACATCAATGGTCACGATCCCATCTGCAGGTACGCATGCGACATCATCGTCCTGATGCTTCATGGTACGATGATTCTCCTCTCTAGGGAGTAGGCAAAGGTGTGTTCCTGCGCTACTAGGTGATTGTCGAGACGGGATCGAGAATCTTGGATCTTCAGATTGGCGCAATGATGAGTTTGTTTTGTTGCCTGATTCTGCCTCCATGGATGAGGACGGTGCGAGATTGTCGGGTGTCCTAAATTGGGATTTGATGATGTCGTTTACTTTCCTCTCTCTCTCTCTCTCTCGATCTTTGTTGCGAAGTGCGACGGCAACCTTTGTTGTTCGAAGCAGTTGGTGGTGACCGACTCTTATCGTGGCATGGTTGTCCGCTTGTGCGAGCATGGTCTTCATTTGTGTGGTACCTCACACCAAGACTGTGTTTGTGTATGTAGCTGCGAGGACCGCCGGAAGTGGTGATGGCATCACAGTTGTTGTCAAGAGATGATTGGTGCTGATATGATTGTTGTTGTAGATTGTTGTCAAAAGATGATTGGTGCCGATATGATTGTTGCTGTAGATTGCTGATAATTGGTTTGATCACTTCTGAGTTTTTCCTTTTTCTTTACTCCACCAAGGCATAGCTTCGATCTCTTTGTTTAGACTTTGCTAGTTGCTGGTGTGACTTGTTTTTGTGTGTGTTGGTTATGTACATCCTATAACTGCAAAGGCCGGGTACATGCTCATTGTATTTGTATCCCTTATGCTCCATTTTAAGCTAATAATAATCCACCTTTGTCAAAAAGGCAACCAAAGGATATTCTTTCCGTTTGGTAGCGAGGCATGCAAGAACTGTTCACAACTTCAAAACCACTAGCAAAGGTTGCAACTCCAGACTTGGCTTTTCCCCTTCCTTTTACAGAGGGTAACTCCAGACTTGTGCTGGCTTGAGAATGGTTTTATACTTTGCAGTTGATATATTATGGTAAAAAGCAGATGGAACGATCGTCACGATTACTTGCCGACAAGTTCCTCTCGGCACAACATGACATGAAACTAGTGATTGGGGCGCCATCCTGTGACGTCGTTTAAGAGAAAGTTGTATGCACGTTTTCATTTAAAAAAAGACACAGAGTCCTCGCCTTCATCTAAAAAAACATCTCAGAAAAAAAATTCTCACTTTCATCTAAAAAAAATAAAAAAATTACCACCTCAGCCTACCAGCGAGTGCCACTTTACATAACCCTCCATTTAAAAAATATCAGAGGCCCTCACCTCCATCTAAAAAAATACATTTAAAAAATAATTCACACTTTCATCTAAAAAATTTCTAAAAGATTTCTCACCGCGGCCAACCAACTTGCGCCATGTGGCATAGCTGGTTGGCCTCGCTTCATGCGTAGCTTAATGGTTTTAATTAATCGCACAAACCACCCCACACACAAGAAAGCACCACAATCTCCACCGTCCTGTGATAACATAACCAGCCAAGCAAGGAATCAACACGCTAGTATATTTATCGGCCGGATGCAGACCCGCCTTCAGCAACACACCAACGCACACAACAAACAACAGCATCGGCAAATCCCATCCCAGACCAATGAAGTTCCTGTTCCAGTTCCCCTGCTGCTCGTGCTTCTGCTACATCAAGAAGAAGAAGAGCGGCAAACCGAAGGACTGACGAAGCGGCCGAGCGTATGGCTGAAGAAGCTGCCCCGCTCCAAAGTATCGCTGCACTTAAACGGATGTGCACCTGTGCAATTAGCGTCTATCTGAACTTTGTGTATACTATGTGTGGAGCCGTTGCGTACAGCGAGGCGCGCTCTGTTTAATCATCATAATGTAATGTAAAAAAGTTGGGCCCAAAAGGCTCATTTGCTCTTGTCTTTCTCTGTGGCTTCTGGTTTGCGGATCCCTATCTCCTGCATCTGCTGTTCGACCGGGACGAAGCCGGTCTCCGCGAGGAACCTGCAGCGTGCAGAAATCACAGCTTGCTAAGATTGCTCGTCACAACAGAGGGTAGGTCGTGTGTGGGCAGAGAGTAGGAGAGGACAGGGGAGACCTGTTGAGGAGCACAAATAGAACCGCGCCGATGGTTATGAGCAGAAGGACGTGACCGACGATCACAAAGTCGCTTGAGAAAAAGGCTAGGTAAAGCATCGCGGTGAAGCAGAATGCCAGTAGCAAAAATGTGATCTGGAGCACGACCCACGTGGGAGCCTACACCAACAAGATAAACATCGGTTAGGATACTTCATTACAGTTATTTGTGCATTCCATAACCACATAAAAAAGGGAACAATATTATGACTAAATCTGGGGCTGAATACAGGAATATATCATAAAGCACGAGGTCAAATTAAATTTAACGGTGAACATAATAACGCACATTGCAGTATTTCTTACATTAACACCAGAGGACAAGGCTCCCACCAAGATAGCTTCAGCTGATGATACTTGATTTAGCGATTGTCCTGCCATTCTCACCCAAATTTATAGGCACTGGCACAAATAACAATACGTTATCACCTATATGCTTCTGCGTGAAACAATAATGGTTCTAGATGACACATAAATGTAGAATGATATGTAACATCCCAGGTACTAATTCTGCCTTAAGTGCCGCCGCACTACACTAAAATCCAATCAAGTCAGTATTTATTCAGAAAAGCCAACACAGTTTCTCTTGTGGGCATCGACAGCCTCAAATTCATACTATATCATCACTTGTAAGCATAAAAGCAGGTATAAAGCTCGATGTTACTGCACATAAACATATGATAATCACAGCACCATGCCAACAATCTGTAACACTAAGCAAGATATACGATGCACTAAGTATATGTTAAGTCATGTGAGTTTCCAAAAGTTGTAGGAGTGCTACACCTATATCCAAATGCATGCTATTTGCTTAGTGCCAAAAAATATATGCAATAATGCAAGAGTGAAAACATAAATACAGACCCATTTGAACATAAAACCATAGCAGGCAATACTCTGGGTTATAACATAAGATCCTACCAATAACTTCGTCGGGTAAACCAATACTTCGAATGAGCATCCCAAACTATTTACTGTTGACTTTGTTACCAACCTCTCCAAAATAGATCAACTATGTGAATTCTGACCAACCTAGGTCAAGGACACCGGTAGTCACAAGCTAACTTACTAATCCATCTCACTGTCCTAGCTGCGTTTTTTTTTTACTTTCTTACCAACCCAGCTTTAAAACAAATCTCTCAAAATACACGGTGGTATGCACGATTACTGAACAAAACACTAGCTCCAAATAAACAGCAGCTCTAAATAAACGGCAATATGCAACCATACAAAAAGGGTAAAGGAGGAGGGTTGTGATAGGCTTGGCGAGCCAACGTAAAAACTCAGCCACTCTTATGGAGATGAAACCCAAAAGATTTTCGTTGGGGCGTAACCCTCTCAGCGACGCGCTACATCGGAACCCGGGTGTGGTGGAAAATGGGCAAGGGCCGGGCCGTCACCCCCAAGGTGGCGCGCTGTATCTTGATCCGGATACGGTGGCAAGTGAGCGAGGATCGGGTCGTCGCATCCTTAGTGGCGCGCTACATCGGCGCCCGGATGTAGTGGAAAATGGGCAAGGGTCTTCGCATTTGACTCGACGAGTGCGAAGGGCAAGGAAGCTAGCCGAGCCTAGGAGGATTCGCTTAGGTAGCTGGAACGTAGGGTCTCTGACAGGGAAGCTTCGGGAGCTAGTTGATGCAGCGGTGAGGAGAGGTGTTGATATCCTTTGCGTCCAAGAAACCAAATGGAGAGGAGAAAAGGCGAAGGAGGTGGAGGATACCGGCTTCAAGCTGTGGTACACAGGAACGGCTGCAAACAGAAATGGCGTAGGCATCTTGATCAACAAGAGCCTCAAGTATGGAGTGGTAGACGTCAAGAGACGTGGGGACCGGATTATCCTAGTCAAGCTGGTAGTTGAGGACTTGGTTCTCAATGTTATCAGCGTGTATGCCCCGCAAGTAGGCCACAATGAGAACACCAAGAGGGAGTTCTGGGAAGGCCTGGAAGACATGGTTAGGAGTGTACCGATTGGTGAGAAGCTCTTCATAGGAGGAGACCTCAATGGCCACGTGGGTACATCTAACACAGGTTTTGAAGGGGCGCACGGGGGCTTTGGCTGTGGCATCAGGAATCAAGAAGGAGAAGATGTCTTAAGCTTTGCTCTAGCCTACAACATGATTGTAGCTAACACCCTCTTTAGAAAGAGAGAATCACATCTGGTGACTTTTAGTAGTGGCCAACACTCTAGCTAGATTGATTTCATCCTCTCGAGAAGAGAAGATAGGCGTGCGTGCCTAGACTGTAAGGTGATACCTGGAGAGAGTGTTGTACCCCAGCACAAGCTGGTGGTTGCTGACTTCCGCTTTCGGATTCGTGTCCAGCGGGATAAGCGTGCCAAAGTCACTAGAACGAAGTGGTGGAAGCTCAAGGGGGAGGTAGCTCTAGCGTTCAAGGAGAGGGTCATTAAGGAGGGCCCTTGGGAGGAAGGAGGAGATGCGAACAATGTGTGGACGAAGATGGCGACTTGCATTCGTAAGGTGGCCTCGGAGGAGCTTGGAGTGTCCAGGGGAAGGAGAAGCGAAGATAAGGATACCTGGTGGTGGAATGATGATGTCCAGAAGGTGATTAAAGAGAAGAAAGATTGCTTCAAACGCCTATACCTGGATAGGAGTGCAGACAACATAGAGAAGTACAAGATGGCGAAGAAGGCCGCAAGCGAGCTGTTGGTGAAGCAAGGGGTCGGGCATATGAGGACCTCTACCAACGGTTAGGCACGAAGGAAGGTGAAAGGGACATCTATAAGATGGCCAAGATCCGAGAGAGGAAGACGAGGGATATTGGCCAAGTCAAATGCATCAAGGACGGAGCAGGCCAACTCTTGGTGAAGGACGAGGAGATTAAGCATAGATGGCGGGAGTACTTCGACAAGCTGTTCAATGGGGAGAATGAGAGTTCTACCATTGAACTGGACGACTCCTTTGATGAGACCAGCATGCGTTTTGTGCGGCGAATCCAGGAGTCTGAGGTCAAGGAGGCTTTAAAAAGGATGAAAGGAGGCAAGGCGATGGGCCCTGATTGTATCCCCATTGAGGTGTGGAAAGGTCTCGGGGACATAGCGATAGTATGGCTAACCAAGCTTTTCAACCTCATTTTTCGGGCAAACAAGATGCCAGAAGAATGGAGACGGAGTATATTAGTACCAATCTTCAAGAACAAGGGGGATGTTCAGAGTTGTACTAATTACCGTGGAATTAAGCTGATGAGCCATACAATGAAGCTATGGGAGAGAGTCATTGAGCACCGCTTAAGAAGAATGACAAGCGTGACCAAAAATCAGTTTGGTTTCATGCCTGGGAGGTCGACCATGGAAGCCATTTTCTTGGTACGACAACTTATGGAGAGATATAGGGAGCAAAAGGACTTGCATATGGTGTTCATTGACTTGGAGAAGGCCTATGATAAGATACCGCGGAATGTCATGTGGTGGGCCTTGGAGAAACACAAAGTCCCAGCAAAGTACATTACCCTCATCAAGGACATGTACGATAATGTTGTGACAAGTGTTCGAACAAGTGATGTCGACACTGATGACTTTCCGATTAAGATAGGACTGCATCAGGGGTCAGCTTTGAGCCCTTTTCTTTTTGCATTGGTGATGGATGAGGTCACAAGGGATATACAAGGAGATATCCCATGGTGTATGCTCTTTGCGGATGATGTGGTGCTAGTTGACGATAGTCGGACGGGGGTAAATAGGAAGTTAGAGTTATGGAGACAAACCTTGGAATCGAAAGGGTTTAGGCTTAGTAGAACTAAAACCGAGTACATGATGTGCGGTTTCTGTACTACTAGGTGTGAGGAGGAGGTTAGCCTTGATGGCCAGGTGGTACCTCAGAAGGACACCTTTCGGTATTTGGGGTCAATGCTGCAGGAGGATGGGGGTATTGATGAAGATGTGAACAATCGAATCAAAGCCGGATGGATGAAGTGGCGCCAAGCTTCTGGCATTCTCTGTGACAAGAGAGTGCCACAAAAGCTAAAAGGCAAGTTCTAGAGGACGGCGGTTCGACCCGCAATGTTGTATGGCGCTGAGTGTTGGCCGACTAAAAGGCGACATGTTCAACAGTTAGGTGTGGCGGAGATGCGTATGTTGAGATGGATGTGTGGCCACACGAGGAAGGATCGAGTCCGGAATGATGATATACGAGATAGAGTTGGGGTAGCACCAATTGAAGAGAAGCTTGTCCAACATCGTCTGGGATGGTTTGGGCATATTCAACGCAGGCCTCCAGAAGCTCCGGTGCATAGTGGACGGCTAAAGCGTGCGGAGAATGTCAAGAGAGGGCGGGGTAGACCGAATTTGACATGGGAGGAGTCCGTTAAGAGAGACCTGAAGGATTGGAGTATCACCAAAGAGCTAGCTATGGACAGGGGTGCGTGGAAGCTTGCTATCCATGTGTCAGAGCCATGAGTTGGTTGCGAGATCTTATGGGTTTCACCTCTAGCCTACCCCAACTTGTTTGGGACTAAAGGCTTTGTTGTTGTTGTTGTTGTTGTTGTTGTTGTATGCAACCATACAAAAAGGGGAAACTCATGCACCTTGCCATAACCATGATGCCGCAGTTAAGAAGTTACTCTACGATAAGAACAATATTGCCACCAATTGCAGCTAAGCCTCACACAGAACTCCCTAAAACCCCAAATTTGCTTATCCAGTTTTCATTTACCATATCCCCTATTTTCTGTATCTTTAATGCCACTCTTATCTAAAAGGCTACCGTCGCCGTAACTCCCCAATTTGTATCTTTGCTGTTTAATTTTCTCCCGTCAACCACCGGCTTGCCCGCGGGAGCGGCTGGCCATGCCGGTGAAGGTTACAAACGGTTTGTTGCACAGGAGTGGTGCAGCTCGGCGGGGTTGTCCGGTGGATCTGGGACCCCCAGGCGGCAGCGATGCTTTTGTTTTAGCAGTGAGGCGAGACATGAAGGAGAGAGAACAAGTAAACACAGTTTGGACCATTGTGATTCCAGGTTTAAACAGATGTAGGATAAATCTAGACAATATAGCATTTATAGTGCACATAGATTTAGTTATTAGCTCTAGCTGTTTCGGGAATGATATGAAACATTCTGATAGTTGGCAGAAAGCATACACCAAACACCATACACATCTTAACAGACATTGGCAGGTTCAATATCCGCACATTATTGCATCCCTATGGTTTACCACATCCTAATCAAAATAACTGGAACTTAACAGATCCAATACATGACCTCCAAGCAGTATACCGATATGTGCCCACTAACAGATCCAAGAGACGGTAATATAAACAGAAAGAAAGCATGAAAGAGGGAGGGCGGAGATGCCTCACCTTGCCGCTTGAGGGGAATTTGGTGGCGGCAGCACGGGTCGGAGTCCCTGCACGGGAGGATGCGGAGCTCGTCACGGACGGGGTGACGGGGATGGCACAGGTTGGAGCGGCGGCAGCGCAGAGGCGGGAACGCGAGGTCGTGGAAGAGCTCGGAGCTCCTCTCGGCGGCGGAGGCAGCAGCTTCGTCGGCGACGGAGGGAGGGGTTAGGCGGCGACCTTGATTCCTGCCCGTGTGGCAGTCTCTTTTGCCACGTCGACGTCCAGCGAAAATGCTTAATCAACAGGGGTCTTTCACCATGACTTGGGTGTGTCGCTGCCTAAATACAGGCAAAAAAATCATGTTCTGTTCAGAAATTGCTTTTGAATTCTCAAAAAAAAAAATTGCTTTTGAAGGTCGAGCTCCACGGAGAACTTTAAATGCAAAATTCAAAATTTATGAAGATTCATATTTTACGTTTAGAAAATTCAAAAATAATAATACAGAGATAGATGAAGGCATGATGCACAGATGTGTAAATTTTTCAGGACGAAATACGTTGAAATGGGGAAGTGAGAAGAAAAAAAACAAATCTAAAGTTTTTTAACACATGATACTATTCATCCTCCCAGGCAGGCCATGAATTTGTCTTTTTTTGTATAGGTCGCATTTCAATGTAGTTCATCCTGAAATTTTACACACATACACCTCACATCCTTTTTTATTTGTACAAATGTTTTTCAAATTCTTTAAAACCGACATCTTTGAATTTTATTTTATTTCAAAAGTTCGGCCTCCATAGAGGCCGAGATCCAAAACACCACACTCGTTGTGTATGTAATTTGACAAGGTGTATGAAGGTTGGCTGCGCTAGCAAATCGACTTTTTTTTATGTCTGGTGGCCTGTGTTAGGCTGGGCTGATGCACTACCTAGTGTTTGATTATGCATGGTCTATGTTATGATCGTTCATTCTTACTAGTGGTGATCTTACCTTACATGACACTAAGATATGTAGTTTGAAATAAACATTGTTTGAGTACTAGCTAGTAAATAAATGACAGTTCATTCTAACTACTAATAAATTGCGGTACAAATTAATAGTCATATGGTTCAATAAGGGAAAGGTCATCGTGCCCAATAAGGAGGAAATCCATTGCCGTCTTCTTCCCGCTTCTTCTTCTTCTGTTGCTTCTTCTTCTTTAGATCTTTGCGTAACTTCTATTTGCCCACATTGCATCAAATCACTCCAATATTTTGCTCTTCCAAACTTCACTGTCAAATGCATCCACACTATGGCCAGAGGTATCACCATCATCAGCCATCACATATTCCTCCTTCGGCACAAACTCTTCACAACCCCGTTATAGGATTCAGTTATGGAGGATGCAAAAATGCAAGAACAAGCCTAATATGGGGGGTAAAATGGTTAAATGACTTCTAACTCAGGATCTTAAATCTGTTCTTCAGAACTCCAAATGTCTTCTCAACCATAACTCTAAGGCTAGAGTGTTTAAAATTGAAAAATTCTTGTGCAAACCCAAGATAGTTCATGAAAGAGAACTCGTTCAGATGATACTTCATTTTCGTGAAGGGTGGAAGAACACCAGGCTGACATGCATAGCCAACATCTCTTAGGTAGAACCTGTCATCGGGGATAGTGTGACCAACCAGTCAAGTCATGCCGTCAGCAAGAATGTTAGCATCATGGTCCGACATTTCCTAGCCAGCTAACACATATGTGAACTTCGGATCAAAGTCAATAGTAGCAAGCACATTCTGACATGTGTAGTGCTTTCTACCCTTGTATGATGCAGCCTGTGACCTCGACATCTAGCAGTCGCATGAGTATCGTCTATTGTGCTAATGCAATCCTCTGATGGCATGAAAATATGGTGTTATGGCTGTACAAAAACAATACAAGCATGTCAAAACATGAATTGTAAGTAGTGCTTACCTTGAAATACAGGTACCATCTTGGGTTGTTGAGAATCTTGTTAGGAGTTTGCCCAGTTGGTGTCTTGACCATCTCTCATGTGAGCACCCAAATAGCATACAAGACTTGCTTAGAAAATACCTATAAATAGTCTCCATTGATCTCCCGAACGTGTTGTGAATAACCCGGAACCTCTGATTATCACTTACAACAAGAAGGAACAAGAAAACTTGCTATTCCACATAGGTGTGGGTGCTATCTTGTAGCAGCCCCTTGTTTCTAAACGTCTCCACAAGCTTTGCCAAAGGTGATCTTTTTATTCGAAGCATCCAGGGAGCCTCTACATCATTGTAGTTGTAGATGTAGTCCAGATTTGCCATCATCTCCCTATTTTGGATTAACATTGGACCATAATTAAGGACAATCGTATCACTCCGACGAACATCTCCCATATGGACCAACATGACCCAAGACTGGATCACAGTTATGGGTGTTGCTGCCTGAACAACCGGCTTCTTTCGTTCGTCCATAACCTAGGGGACATCGATCCTACACCGTGGTAACTTTTGACCTTAGGAGAAAATAAGTTTTAAAAAATTACACCAGTAACTCACGCATAAATAGCATGATAATATATGAACCGAAGACTTGATAACTTATGTTCAAACACCGCGATAACTTTTGATCTAAGATAAAAACAGTTGTTGGGAAAAAATTACCCCGACAATTTCTGTAAATAGCATGGTAATATATGAACCAAAAATTTGATAACTTATGTATGAACATCACAATAACTTTTGGAACATGGGATCTAGTATGTCGAAACTTCATGTCCCGTCGCCCTCTTTTTGGATGCCACCACCTTCGTCTCAAAACCATACTTCTAACCTACGCTCAGAACACCATGGCAACTTTCAGCAAGGGAAGGGGAATTTTTAAACATATCCCGGTAACTTTTGTGCAAAGTTACCATGTTGCACATGTTAAAGTTATTGTGTTTCTCACGTTATAGTTATCATCCTTCTCACGACATAGTTACCAGCTTTATCATGCCATTTCTGTTACCGGGATGCTAATGTTGAAGTTAGTAGGATGCAAATGTCATAGTTATCATCCCGCTCATACCGAAGTTACCAAGACTAAAATTAACATTTTTGTTGGCATGGTAGAAAGAAGAAGGGTTCAAATGAACCCGAACAAGGAGCACACGCCAACACACCCCTCTGTAATAAAAGTCACTCATGGTTCGTTTGGGGATCGGTACATGTTTTCATTCAATTGGAAGTGAGATCGCAATACAACGTGCTTGTGTATTTGCAAAAAGTAAAGAGTTGTCTATACTCATTAATTCGAGATAGTGTGCCTGGCAAAGCATAGCAAAGATTTGAATGAAGCATTGAGTGGTAAAGATTTTGGGTACATGTCTATTTAATAAAAGCAAGCACTGTAAACTATAAAGATAGAAACGGTAAACACAACAGTTTGTTTGTGTGCATGTGACATGATACATTAATTTTGATCGCGACGATTAATTACACCTTTCTCAGAATTAGCATTACTAAATTCTCAAATCTTTTAGAAGAGAATAATTCCAAAGATCATGAGATTGTTATGAAAAACTTTCTAGAATTATTACCATGATGTCCTAAGTTTTTCATTTATTATAAAAACAACATGAAATGTGTTAAAGATCGCTCATATTTATTTACATAATTTCCTAGGAATTATTATTCAAAGATGTTTCCTGGGAACTTGGTACAAACAAAATATTAGATGTGTTATATGGTACAAACCATATGGCTCAATCAATCCAGAGATTATTATTAAAAGGTTGATAGAATTATTACCATGCCGCTCTCAGTTTTTTCACTTACGATAAAAATAACATGGAATATCTTGAAATTTTTCTCATATTTATTTACATAATTTCCTAGGAATTAGTATCATAAGAAATTTATGGTTTATTAGAAAGGTGTAAATTAGCAAAATAGCTTTGAATTTGAAGAGATGACATTGATTGGCAATGTGACCATTACAAGAATAAATGCATCTAGAACAAGAGGGTGCTACAAAGTGGGCTAGATGGGACACTTTGTGCAGTGAATACAACCCTCTACACCATTCCTAAATCAAAGCATAAATAAAAAATACCCTCATACTAATATAGTAGTACATATCCCTATGCTTGTTTATTGGTCAGATATGAGGGGTTGTGTGCCCGCATGTGCTCCTATGCATTTTCGGTGTTTGAATTCTCTTTTTCATAACACTAGGAGAACCAGCTGTGGCAGCTAGAGTTTTCCTCTCTCTTTTTCATAACTGTTGATTGGATAATTAAATTGTCCTGTTTTTTCTTTTATTAGGAGCATAGCTCAAACCATGTATTTTTTTTTCTCTTTTCTTAGAGAAGAAGGTCAAATATTGGCATACATCAGCCCGTTAGTACAGTAGGAGGCTCAACATGTAGGCCTGGCCCATCACAAACCGGCTGTGAGAAAATTGATGCTGAGCTACAAAGAAACTTTGTGCCCAAGAAAACAGGAACCGACCTGCCGCTCGCACACTATAAAACCACAACGATCGATCGGAGCGAGTGCCAGCTCGGTCAGCGACATGCTCGCTCGTCGTTAACGCCCACCACAATTCCGCATCTCGATGCCGTCGTCACCGCCGGCGGCGGCACCACGAAGCCGTCGATATTCCAAGAGAAGAGCACGGACGTTCCACGTCACGGTGTTCAAGTACACGCCCGTGCCGCTGCCGGAGAGGGACTGGGCGGAGCTGCACCCGGACCTGATCTCGCGCATCTTCCGCAAGCTGGACCAGGCCGAGCTCCTGCTCGGCGGCGTGACGGGCGTGTGCCGCTCCTGGCGGCGCGTCGCCCGGGAGGAGCCGGCGCTGTGGCGCCGCATCGACCTGAGCGGCGGCCTGTGGTACGCCCCGGGGTCCTACCCACCCATGTTCAACCTGGAGACGAGGTCCATGGTGCGGAAGGCCCTGCGGCTGAGCGCGGGGCAGTGCGAGGCCCTCGTGTGCGAGCACGTCGACGACGACACACTCCTCTTTCTCGCCGAGCGGTACGGGATTTAATTTCCTTCCCCTATCACCCCGATCTCTTCCGTACTCTTGTTAGGCTTCCCTTGTCCGATTAGCTGGGACTTCAATTCGCATAAATCGAAGGGTAAAGGGAGTGCTCTTCTCATGGCCCCTCCAATTGCCATTGTCTTTTGAGATTTTTTTATTGCATTATTCTTTAAAGGAGGAAAGGTCGTTTCTGTATATATTTGAATGTCAAATTTATTTCGAAGGACAGAGGGTTGCTTATGCATTTTTGAATATCCTACTTACGTACTTGTCACGAATAATAATAGTCATATCTAATGCAAACTTGCAGGGCCCACTCGTTGAAAAGCCTTCATCTCGTTGTGACCCATATCTCTGACAAAGGATTTGCAAAGGCAATCAAGATGTTGCCTCTTCTCGAGGAGCTCGAAATTACGCTGCTTTCAAAAACGTATACATTGAAGCTGGTTGAAATTGCTGCTAGAGCCTGCCCACTATTGAAGCACTTCAGACTTGTCACAGGAAGGTACTACGAAAATGGTAACAAGGTAGCATTTGCGGTTGCCAGGATGCGTAAGCTACGTTCCTTGCATCTTGTCGGTTTTGTCCTCGACAAAGAAGGGCTAACAGCCATCCTTAACAACTGCCATGATCTAAAGTACCTAAACATGCGAGATTGTGGCTCTCCTATGGATTACAACCTACGAGCGAGGTTTTCCCGGATAACCTTTGATGACCATGAGTACTGGAGTGACTATTACAATGACACTCATTATGCGTATCACCGCTCCAAGCCTACTCTATGTGATTGTTGTGATTACGTGCCCTCTTCAAAATACGACGATGATGACTATGAGGCTTATCACTACAATCTTGGCGATGGTGATGGTGATGACGTTGACGATGCAGATCTCGACAAGCACGAGAAGATACTTGACATCAAGAGCATGCGTAGGTACCTAAGTAGATGAAACGATATAGATGTGTAATGTCTTGCTGAAACTGACCCCTTGTGGAATGCGTGCACACTCACACGATGGTGGTTAAAGTTCTGTTGCTTTAGTTCCGTCCCATGGGACTTGCGCATTATTAATTGATCAATGTTCCATCATTCAAATATATGTAGTAATTAACAAAAATGAGAGATAGCGACAGTCATTTTATCTGAATCGCTAATTTTAGGTGCTTGTGAAGTGAACATGCTAAATGAGTGTTCTTCAATTTTGTTTCAAACTTTCTTTACCATATGATATGATCAATTGTAACCTTTGTCATCTTCTTCGGGTACAACATTCATTATTTGTTGTTCCTAGCACAAACAAATGTTGTTCCGGCGGTGCGTCTAGCACTGTTGGTGGGCGTGTGGAGGTGTGTCTCTGGCGGATCTATCTATGGTGGATTTGCTCGGATCTTGCCGTTGTTCGTCTACGTTTCTGTGTCTTCGGGTTGGATCCTTCTGATCTACATTATTCTTCATATGCGGCGGTTCCTGTTTTGGTGCGCTGGTCCTACGGGACCTTAGCACGACGACTTCCCGACTGTCTACTACAACAAGTTGTGCCCGACTCCGGCGATGGAGGGGCGATGACGGCCGCACGCCTTCAGCTCGCTTCAGTGTTTGTAGCCGCCGCTAGGTGGTCTATGGATCTGATGTAATTTCTATTATTTTTGGTATTCGTTGTACTGACATGATTGAAGATGAATAGATCGGAAATTTTCTCATAAAAAAAGGCATATAGCATCGACTGAGACATAACGAAGTCTCAATCGACTAAGGCCCTGTTTGGTTCATAAGTCCTAGGACCTTTTCGAGTCCCAACTAAAAAGTCCCTCTCTATTTGTTTTGAGGGACTAAAAAGTCCCTAGTCCCTTCTTAAAGGTTATTAAATGACATGTAAAAGGCCATGTTACCCCTAGTATACAGAAAAATAACAACCAAATAACACCATGGGGCGGCGGGGCAACGGGTGTAGGGAGGGGCATTGTTGGAAAAGTCCCGAAAAGTCCCAAAAAAGACTCTCCTTGAGAGTCTTCTTTATTTAGTCCCAAAAAGCAACTTTTAGTCCCTATTAGTCCCTTCTGTTTGGTTAAAAAGTCTTTAAGAGGGATTTTTTCTAGTCCCTACACCAAAAAGTCCCTAGAAACAAACACCCTCTAAGACTTAGCAAAACTGCTTTTCTTAAGGGAAACAGGAATCTCTCTTAGTTACTACTCCCTTCGTTCCGAATTACTTGTCGCAGGCATGGATGTATCTAGATGTATTTTAGTTTTAAATACATCCATTTCTACGACGAGTAATTTGGAACAGAGGGAGTATATATATAAGCTCGCGTGAAATAGATTATAAAAAGGGCGCTGATCTGCGCCGGCGCACCGGCCCAAGTCGCATCCGCGCCGTACGATGCAAGGCATCTCGTCCGCCAGATCAGCTTTCCCGCTTCGTTCCCCACCCATCATTCCGAGCGTGTAGGAGAAAAATTCCCCTCGCCCCATCAAATTGACCCGCCCACCACGACCACTTGCCCTGCCCACCACGCAGATCGCCGCCCCCGCCGTGGGTCGGAGTTCACCCTCGCCGCCCCCGCCGCGGGTCGGAGTTCGCCGTCGCCGCGTCTCCACTCCCCTTCCTCGTCTCCCCCATGTCCATGCCCAGCAACCATGCACCTCCTCCTTCCCCCCCTCATCCTTCACATGCTTCCACTGCAGCGCCAGCCAACTCGCCGGCGGCATCCCGACGACGCCCCCACGGTCGCAACTCTGAATGTAGTGCCCAAAAAGACAGAACATGGTGGAAGCAAAAATAATGACAGGATCCAGTAAAAACAGAACATGGTGGAAGCAAAAAAGTAGACTCAGCTGGGGATTCAGTGGTCAATTGTAGCAAAAAAGTAGACTAGTTCCAGCAGAAAAAACAATGAGGCCCCGTTTGGTAGCGAAGTATTTTTTAAGCATTTTGAGAATACTGCAGTTTTTAAGATTACCACAGTTTTATTTACAACGAGCTGTTTGTTTGCCCCTAATAACTGTTGTTTTAATATTGTAGTATTTGGCAAACTGTAGTTTTTTCTCTGTTTAATAAAAAGAACCCCGACCTGTTTTTAAAAAACAGAGCGGCGAAAAGAAGGGAGTCCCCTCGTTATCCTTCCCCGCTCCTTGCTCTGGCTCGTTCTCACGCCGCCGCCGCCGCCCTATCGTCTTCCATCGGCGGCCATGGGGAAACAAAGAGATGGCGATGGAGAGACCAAAGGTGATTACTCTGCCCTCCATCCTCCCTCATCGCTCCTTCCCGCCTCTCCCCGCCAACCGCCGGCTCCTTCCTCTGCAGGGCCGTGCCGTTCTCCACTGTGCATGTCGCTGGTATCTGCGGACGGCGCCGCGACGCACAATCTCCTCGATGCCGTCCGGCCTTGCTGACGAGAAGGCCGTCCCCGATTCAGGGGCAGAGTAGATTCTCCTTGGATAGATTGAGAAGCAAGATTTAGTGGCTTAAGGCTAGATGCAACCTAGATGATCTTAGCTTGGTGATAGCTTTATGTAGTAGCCCGAAATATGGCGTAAGACAGTCTGCATCGCTGCGATTTTCAGAAATATATGTGTTACAAAAGCATTGGCTATCTAGGTCGGCTTATATCTGAAGCCAAAAGAAAGTAGACAGCCAAGCTGCTGCTTGGTCGGCTTATATCAGGCTGCGATTTCAGAAATATGTATGTTACAGAGGCTTTGACTATCTAAGTTGATGCTTGGTTACCAGCTTACAAATTTTGACAGCCAATCAGGCTGTGGAAGTGTAAATAGACTGTCTAAGACAAGCAGTAGAACCCCAATCTCGCTGCTGAAATGCACAACAGTCATACCATAGCGATTTTGCTGTTTTTCATTCAGACAATTCAGATTCCAGTATACCTATTCGAATCTGATTCTCAAAAAAGACAAACCACACTTGGTACTTTTAGCAGGGGGTAGGGGCTAGAGGTGACAGTTCATTAATTTGTAGCATGCATTTTGTAGCTAGCGTGGTTTCGGCCCACCCATAACAATTTTGTTCTATCATTAGCAGTTGCTCACTACAGATTTTTGCCTAGCTCCACGACAGCCTACAATCCTGCGTACATTAGGATATAGTATTTTGTTTTGTCAATGTAATCCATGGTGTGGCGTCATGCACGAGATATTAGGATTTACTGAAGTTGATTTGTTTTAACCAGATATTTATGATAACTATGATATTTGTTGCTTTCGAGTAGGGTCCTTGTCTATTTTCCTGATGTTTTGCTTCCCAATTGCAGACAAGAGAAACAGAGCATCATGGACAACTGCTCAACTAGACCTGCTCGTTTCTGTGATGAAAGAGTATGCAGATGCTGTTACATTTCGCGGTCAGAATGGATGGACCAAAGAAGGATGGAATAGCATGACTACACGCTTGAATAATCAGTTTCTGAGAGCTAATTTCATTGTTTCTCAACTAAAATTTAGAGAGCAGCGGTTGAAGAAAGAATAGTTTGTTGTCAAATCTATTGTAGAGAAGAGTGCCTTCAGTTTTGATCCTACTACAAAAATGCCAACAACCATTGATGAAAAATGGGATGAATTGAGCAAAGAACAGCAGAAGTGGAGATACAAAGCTTTCCCTTACTACGATGATTTGCATGCAATTTATGATGGTACGTTGGTTTCACATGTAATGAATTTAGCATATGATCTTGCTTGCTTGTAGTTTACAATATATTCCTATGTACGCAGGTAAAACAGCGGAGGGGAAGGGTTGTAAGAGGACAACTGATCAGGTTGAAGAGAAGTTCAGTCCGGCTACAGATTTGTCACGAGGGGAAACCTTCACCCAACAGGTTCTAAATGCCGCTGGGCGTAATTCACCTAGTCCAACATTACCTGCTCCAGGCTTTGAAGATCAACATTATGAGTGGAGTGAAGGCATATATGGTGACGATGTTGAAGTATTTCTTGTTAAAAGAGCAGAACGTATGGAAAATAATAGTAATCATTTTCTGACGGAAGACATGAACACACTTCCTGACCCACCACCTATGAAAAAGGCTAGGACTTCTAAAGGCAATGATGAAGGTAAGCCTAAGAGAGGCAAAGACACAGCGATTGAAGATCTGGTTGCTGTTAGAAATGAGGAGCTTAAAACTTATGTGGATGTGAAGACGAAGCAAATTGAGAGCTATAGAGAAATGAAAATGGTGCAGATGGAAAAAAAGATCCTGACAAAGATCCTTATTGCATTGCCAATTGCATTGTCAAGCTTAAGAGCATACCAGATCTCTCAGCAAGTGAACATCTGAAGATGATCCAGCATCTGAAAGGAGAAAGAGTTGACCGTGAAATCTTCATGACAGTCGAGCATGATGTCGTTCTGGAGATCCTCAAGGAAGTGCTTGGCCGTCAAATTTAAAGTAGAAATTCGTTCTAGGTATTTTCATCTGAATAGGAAAAATCTTTGATACTCTATTATTGGTTTATTGGTTCATACTACTCTAGGTTAATTTTTTTGTTAAAAAGATGTCATTGTGCACTGTACCATGAATAAAAGGAGGAGCACGAATGTATCTCAGCATAAATTTGTTTCAGCACTAAACTTGGTTTTGACGGCACTATGTTTCCTTTCATAAAAGCACAGTCCTTTAAATTTTGTTAGTTCCGCCATGTTATTTGTACAGGACACAAAAACTCATATTTGCTGTACTAGTTGATAGTTGCCTTTTACATTACATATCTTCTCACAGAAATGTAAAAGTACATTATTAATGAATGAGAAAGCTACTACAATATTTTGATAAAAATATTCTACTGATCGTTTTATTCTAGCTTCAACAATTGCACAAGTCATGTGCTATTTCTTCTACCGCGCTCCTGCAGATACTCACAGTAGTCTTTCCACATTGCTTCAGCAATTTGATCCCTTTTTGAATGACCCAATGCACGCCGCTCATTGAGAGATTCTACATCA